ATATATATATATATATATATATATATATAATTTTATCTCACATTTTTTTTATCTTCTGTACCTCTCTCTCTATGTTGCATAAACATATGAAAAAACATAAATTTGTGAGTCTCATTCTTTATTTATAATTTTTATAGCTCTTAATAAATTATAGCTAATAATAGAAAATGTGTTGGAAGAAGTTTCTTATAAATAAAATATCGTACAATTACACTTCTCTTCATTCAAGTAGAATTTGGGAGAGACTTTAGAAAGGAATCTCAATCCAAAACAAGTCGAAGTTTGTGATGCATTCCGGTGATGCTTAGCATAAACTATATCTTTTACTCTTTGATGATTATTCTTCTGTGTCATGCTTTTGTATTTAATTTAATGTAAAGAGGGGGAGAAACTTTTGTGCACAACAACCACTTTGTAATTCTTATTTATGTAATTATATCGTTTCGGCTTGTGAGTATTTGTCCTCAAAGTCATTTATTTAAAAATTTCTGACCAAGTTAATTTGTTTGATTACTTACGACAGAGCTGAGGGTGAAAGTGGATGGTAAGAGTACCGATCAAAAGCCAAATACACCAAGATCAAAACACTCTGCAACAGAACAGCGGAGAAGGAGCAAAATTAATGACAGGCATGTGTTCCCTAACAATGCAGGCTTAAAGGAACTCTCCTTTTTACTTTATTATTTAAGAACTGAACATAAACTAACATGGTTAAAAGCAAATTTCCTTATGGTGTTCATAGTCTTCTGACAGAACATTTGAATTAATTATGCAGATTCCAAATGCTAAGAGAGCTTATTCCACACAGTGACCAAAAGAGGGACAAAGCATCTTTTTTATTAGAGGTACATTCATATGAGAAAACAGTTGTTATCTTATATAAGTTTACAATATTTCTGATTAGTGCTAAATCTGAAATATTTTTAGGTCATTGAGTATATTCATTTTTTACAAGAGAAGGTGCACAAGTATGAAGGTTCATTTCAAGGGTGGAGTAACGAGCAAGAAAAATTGATGCCATGGGTAAATACCATATATACCTATCATAAGCTGCGCGGGATTTAAAGGACTAAAACTTTATCTTCCTTGAGATATTTACTGTTTCCTATCATTTAAATCGCATATGTTTGTTGGGTTCATTCATTAGTATCAATAGCATGTTGCAACGGATTTGAATTTAGAAATATAATAACGATTGCGAACCATCCAAAAACTTATTTTTCTTTTTTTTTTTCTTAATTTTATAGCAGAGAAATAATGACAAGCCAGCAGAAAACTTCCAACATCGTGGCACTGATAATGGGTCAAGTCCATCTCCAGCACTGCTTTTTTCTTCAAAGAATGAGGAGAGAAATATTAGCATCTCCCCAACAATTCCTGGGAGTACCCAGAATGTAGAATCTGGCTTGAGTACAGCAACTACCTCCAAGACAGTGGACCATCAGGCCGGAATAGTGAATAACGCTTTTCCAATTCCTATTTCCTCACAGCTAAATTTCTTCCCTCCAGCCCAAATGGGTGGTCCAGGTGGAGTAGTGTCTCAGGTCGCACATATACCGGTTTCTGATGCCGAGAACAAATATCAACCTTCAGTGGAGTGTCAGACCATGGCGGCTACCAGTGAAAAGCTGAAAGAGAAAGAGCTCGCTATTGAAGGTGGTGCAATTAGCATATCAAGTGTGTACTCAAAAGGGTGAGTATTTATATAATGTTTATTTGTTTGTGTATAATAAAAAGTAGTTTTGAAATCGCTATACCATTTTGAAATTATGTTGGTCTGTTGGACATAAAAAAATGGATCTATTCTCTAGTAATCATTCATGTAAAGGAAACGCAGATGTCGCACGTTATGGAGATACGCTTTTTGATAATAACCTATTAATGTTGCATCATACTTATCTTGACCCTGACATAATGCCGAAGAGTCATTGGATTATGCTATGCAACCTTAATTTAAACTAAATTCACTTTTTTCGATGATTATGATTTGCAATTCATGATGCTGTGTAATTGTGGAAGAAGTTCATGATTTCAGTTCATACTTGAAAAATTATCCTTTTTATCTCTTAATAATTTAGATCAATTGTCTTATGCAATGATGGCATATAGTGCTGCTCTGTTCCATTCGAACAATTAAGTATGCAACATTAGAAACTAGTTCAGATAATTTGAGAAAAAATTTTTATGGACCCGGTAGGAGCATTTTGGTTATAATATACTAAGATAAATGTATTACACTTGAACAGGTTGCTGCATACGCTTACACATGCACTGCAAAGTTCAGGAGTGGATCTGTCACAGGCTAGCATCTCAGTGCAAATTGAACTTGGTAAACAAGCAAACATCAGACCAACTGTACCCGTGTCAGTGTGTGGTGCTAAGGTATAGTGACACTCTAATTACTTATTTTCCGGGTCTTTGTTTTGAACATAAGCTATGTTCTAGTATTAAATTAAAATTTCACATTATCTAATTTGTCGATGATGTTCCCCTAGGATGGTGAAGTACCTTCTAACAACAATCAAAAGATGATGCGCTCAAGAGTTGCTAGCTCAGGGAAGTCTGACCAAGCAATTAAGAAGCTAAAGATCTGCAGAAATTAATTGGACCGTTATATTCATTCTTTCCTTATTATTATAATTTCCATTAATTATTAATTATTTGGGGGTAACTTTTTTAAAATTAATTTTTGGAAGGGGTATTTATGTCTTCTGCTGGCCTGCTATCCTGCGAGGGTGAGATCGACTGTACATTCAGTGTCCTCTTAGTTTGTTGGGATCGTTAGGCTCACCCCAACAAAATAATATGAATCAATTTAGTTTCTAATCATATAAATATAAAAGGCTTCCATACTAATTGAGAAGCTATTTTTTAACCACAGCTTCTATTCATGTAAAGTTTGTAAACTCTGACTCCTTTATTTGTTGCATATTGTTTGACATTTCGTCTTGGTGGTATTTGTTTTGGTGGTCTAGTGAATTCTTATGAAATCGTATAAACTACATCGAAAACCTATTATATATTTAGAATGTTTGGATGGTATAATATAGCCAACCATAGTTGAGTTTTAGTAGAATGACGAACTCGTTAAATGGATCAAAGTTAGAAAACTAAAAAGGAGGCAACTATTCAAACGATTTTAATAGCAATTCTGGTTAATATTTTCAAAATTCACAGGACAAATTTTACCTGCAGTATTATATCCTATTTTTTATGTTTAGTGTGATCTTTTATATTTTTTTAAGTGATTTACTGTAGTTCTTTCCATCACATTTACTTTCAACGTGAAGAAACTAGTGGGTTAAAAAAAATTCAACAATTGTTTTTAGTTTTTAGTAACTATAAATAAATTTTTGACGGTTTAAAACTGTAAAAATTGCTACTGTTGGTGAATTTCTTTGTGTGTACGTCTATTGGGTATTTAAAAATTTAAAAGCATTGTTGTTAAAATGTTTGATGACTGTGTACGGAAAATTGATCCCTTTGAAGACGTGTGGTAGTTCTATCTGGCAAAGCAACGAAGAGGTAGGGAGAGCATGACCTTTACGATTTTGTTATGAACAAATTAAGAAATATAATAAAAAAGAATTATCTTTTATAAGATATTTACGAGATTTCCTATTTTATCTTTTACACTTTTATATCATAATAAATACATTTACATAAAGTGATTAAAATTTTACTAGAGGATGAAAGTGTAAATAATAAATTTAAGCAAAAGATTTCTCGAGTAACTCGCATTTAGAGCGTGGATTTAAATTTTTTGAAAAAAAAAAATCGTGTTCATTTTTCGTGTTACCAAGTTAAATTTAACTCAAAATTTAATTTTTTTATGTATTCATATCATCATCATATAAAGATATATTCATCTTTTTTTGTGTGTATATGTTCTTTTAACTTTATCTTTTAATGAGTAACATTTTTAAAACTAAAATAGTTATCTTATCAATTTTACTTATAAAATTTAATTATTTGTATCTAATTCTTTTTTATTTAATAATATTTTTAAATTAATTTTTTTTTATAAAAAATTATCTATAAAATAAATAAAAACTACAATATAAAAGCTATTTATATTTATTTTTATAATCATAATTTCATTACCTTTTATTATTATTAAAAAAATAAACACAGATATTACAAATGTATTTTTACTAGTTATTTAATAAATTAAATAGAACGTTCTGACATAAATGAATACTAAAATGTCTACATGTGTATTTGTGATCCCTTTAATCTGAATTTAGCATGACCAATATTAAAATTCATTTAAATATGCAAACACATTCTTATTCCTACAGAAAGTGTTTATGAAGAGCACGGAATGATAGAATCGGTGCTGGAGGAATGCATTCTAATGTTTTAAAGTAAAGAATGATATATAATAATAACATTTTATTTTATATTAATTTTAATTATAAAAATTAAAATTATAATATTACATGTTAATCTATTAAAACATATTATTTTGTTACATTCATCAATTTTTTTACAAATTTTATTTTCATCTTCAAATTCTCTAAAAGAAATAACACAAAATCAACCTAATCACTATGCATCGAATCCATATTTCGAAATGAACATAAACTAAAATAAAAGAAGGAAAGAATTTCATTATTAATGGTGTAAAGTATAAGAACAATAGTATATTAGATTGAAAAGTCAACAATTAGTCGCTTTATGTTAAAGCTTTAGAAAACAGCTTCCATTTAATTAATTATTATCTACTTGATAATGGCTCGTGTTAACGGTTGTTAATTGAGACAAACGTCAATGAAAGCAGCATGCATTAATATAAGCACGTGTTATCAAAGGCGAATAATAATTTGATAGTTATGAAGTCTCTGAGTTAGTGTTACCATTAGCAGCATTAATGACATTTATATATAGCTTTTCAGATAATTTATAGAAGTGGATACTTTTGACAGTTGGTGTTTCTTGGATCCTTCAACCTATATTAAAATATAATTACTGGATTAGTTTCTCGGTATTTTCTTCGATTTCATACTACAACAAATAAATAATGAATAATATATATATATATATATACTGTTCAAATATTATTACAAAAATATGTACCAAAATATATTTTTCTATTTACCTCTAATTGCTGTCAATTGAGAGTCTCTTTGATTTCATAAACAAAGAAGATTCTCCATCATCTCTTGTCTGAAAGTTTTATTTTTAGGGTTTGAGAAAAAGGTGGTTTGAAATTGTGTGTTTGCCACTTTTATGGTGTGAATGAGGAATTGAATATGGTGAAGTGTTTCAGAGTGGAATACAACGCACTACTATTCAGCAATTAGCATAATGCCGACACCTTACACCACCAAGAAAGTCACCTTTTTCAATTGTTAATTTCATTATGTTCCTTCATTTTAAACTATTATAAAAATCTATACAAATTTGTATTATGTATCCTCCAGTTGACATTTGTTTATGCCTTTGAAGTTCCCACCATCTAAGTAAAGGCAATTGTGTCATCCTTGTTTGAGAAAGTTTATCTTTTTTTGGTGCTAGTGTGTCTCCGGTGATTTGGTACATATGTGCTTAGAACATTGTTGCCTATGATACTGCAATACTTGCAGAAGCTAAACGGGTGATTTCTCCGATGTTATACGGAGGCCATAGGAAAACAAGAACATATTATCTGCAAGGAACCTAGCCTTAATTTGGTGGAAACAACAAAAGAAAGAGGGCGGGGTGATTAAAAACTGCGCTCTTTCTTTTTTCGGTACTCTGTTCTTTACATCGTTTTAGCTGCTATTGTTAGTCATTCTATTTTCCAAAGCTACACATTTTTCAAATCACTACAACAGTTCCTTTACCTCAACATTATTGACCCAGACAAACCTCTTAACTGTCCATACAAAAGGATCTACAATTAATATAAGTATGATTTTTCCTTTTCCTTTCTGAACATTCAATGTGTACTTTTTTACACGCTAAGAGAAAAAAACATTTAAACAACAACAAAGCTGGACACCGTATAATCATAAATTTTATGATCAGAAACCCAACATTCAGGGGAAACGACTACTAACACTTCAATAAAGTTGCAAGAAAGGGTTGAAACAATAAACGTAGGCATCACAAAACTTATCAGCCATCGTATGTGTCAGCCAATAATTTCATCCAACATCTGTCATTTCCCTTTCTCATCATCCTGTACATTCAAGTAAGTCCTCAAATAAATTAATATCCATAAGTGCCACCAACTTCAATGAATGATTTAATCAAATTTCAAGACCAAACTGAAGTTCCAAAGGCCAAATATATCTTCTATTATGGGAAAAGAGTATCCGATATATGGTTCAACAGTATTTTTGCTGACCAAAACACATTCCTCTTTTACTGCCAAATTATAACACAAAGTAATACTAATATTTTGTAGTGTGCATGGGATCTTCTTGTAAATTAAGTTTTTTTTTTGTTTGGTAATAAAATTAATTTATAGAAACTGTAACTTCTTTATATTGTTATTTCTAACTTTAGAACTACAATGGATTTAGGGTTATGGCTGTATAAAAGAAAACGGTTCTTATTTCAAACGGAAAGGCTAACCTTCTTCTTTATCCAATAACAAAAGGCTTGATCTAGAATTAAGTAAACAAAAACTGGAACACCGGGAAGTTTACCAAATAAGTATATTTTACTGTAACCTAAATTTAAAATATTGAATGGGTGATAAAAAAAGTAGAAATAAAACAAAAGAAAATGTGTCAAGGGAAGAATCGAATGGTAGATTTTTCTATCTATTTCTTGCAAAGATCAAAACAAAGTGTATATTTGTTTCATATATGGACAAAATCGAAAATTATTGGCAAGTACTAAATCTGACAACTTTAACTTTATCATGTCAGAAAATAGTGAGGGACCAATTTGTAAATGTGGAAATAAAAATGTTTTTTATTTTTCATGAAGGAACAAAAGCAAAAAGAAGAATCAGCTATAACATTTAAATTTTTAATGTAACCCCAAAAATATTTCAAATTGTAGTTCTTTTTTGAGTTCATGTTATAGATAACATTTTCACTCATGGAATATAAAAGACATACAGAGAAGTTTTAACAAGCAACCGTTTCAGAAACATTTTGACAAATATAAAATTATTGTTTGCTAAGTAATCATAAATTTTAACGAGTACAGATTATATCATGCTTACCGAATTATCCATCAGTTTGTCCAAATCTTCATTGTATCTTCCATCGCCATCATCTGAAAGTCCAGAGAGATTATAGGCAAATGTAAAGTCACCAATTTTAAATTCACCCAGAGCACATGTTATTCTATACTTTAACTCAAACACCCAAAAGAATAATCTAATACTGTCATTGGATATAACTCCAACTCCAGAGAACATGGTGGTATATAGGCTAACAAATAGGAAAAACATGACGAAAGTTCAAGTGACTTTAGTTCTGTCTGCATTGATTAAGAGTTACATCTAGATTACTTGCTTGATGAGGAGTGGAAAGGGAAGTCATGGAAAGGAAATAATGCCCTCAAGCTCTACTTTTGCTCACATTCAAACTAGGGTGTAATGAGGGTAAGGAGCTTTGCTGTTATCTTAAGAACGTGCCATTTACTATTTGAATAAATTTAGTTGTTTGAATGAAAACGTGTCATATTGAAATTTTTTAAAGGTGATATTAGGAGCAAATTTTACCTTGCCCTTTCTTCTCTCATAAATCATCCAAACACGAGGAATGCAAAATTACACAATTTTGTCCCTTCCCTTCCCGTCTATCTCGTTCTCTTAAAAACTTTGAAATTTCGTGAATAATCAAAAGACCTCAATTATCCAAAAAATAAATTGTTTGACTTAAAGAAGTGAACTTTAAATTTAACTCAATCTTACAAATCCAGTTTGTA